AAAAGGAACACATCATCATAATTTAAAAACATTCACTGCAGTTACCTTACCAAAGACTGCAGGAACCTCACTCTGCAGGAGATTCCTCAGCTTATTCAAGCAGCACTAGCCTAGAAAGATGTGTGTGGCACAAAAATAGAGGCAGCACAGAAATGCCATTTACAGGCATATATATATATATATATATATATATATATATATATATGTATATAAACACAACATATACCTAGGAGGATGCACTTGGCTGTTTAGGCACTATTTGTGGTATTACATAGTCATTCCTCCTCTTTACCATAGGTGGACAAGAATTTTCTTTTGTATGCAACTTGTAGCTTTTTTTGTATTAATCTATTAATTGTACAACCTTTAGCTTTTTGTATTAATACATTAATAACAGTATGCATATTATACATTCAAGAACTCCCAGTCTATGCCTAACTTGCTCACAGAAAGAGGGCACGCATTTACAATTCTGTTCTCCAGAACATATTCCAACACATAACATTTAAATTCCATTTGTCGTAGGTCTTAGCTAAATGCCTAAGGAAACACACAAGTGATTTAAAAATAAATCCTATCCTGATTGTGTCTTATTATAAGAAAATTTAGAAATTCCATGTTCTAGTGACAGACATGACCTTTACTCATTGCAACTTTAGGTCGCATTTGAGTAAGTAACAAAATAACACCATTCATGCGATATATATAAAGCCATACCATATACCAGTATGAAAATAGCTGGGAAGACTTCCTTGCACAGGTTGCACTTACCAAGAGACTCTCTATAAGGAGGCACTGAGGTGGTCTGAGTTTCTATGTTGTGAGTTTCCCTGTTTAGATGATGTTCGGTAAGTCCAATTAAAATTTGCATAAGGAAACCTAGCAAGCCCCAATAGATTAGTTAGTTCTGATTTCATACCTAAATGGAATTTTAGCCTGTAATTGACAAAGCAACTTTCAATGTACAAGAAAAGAGTAAGTATTTCACTAAAAATCAATATTAGTGAACAATTATGGTTTTATTATAAGCATAATCCAGTCCATCTCAGTCAGCAAAACCTGTCCTTTTGCAACTTTTCCTCTCATCCATGTCTCTTGACTCCCAAGGTCAGTTGAGAGTGTAGATTATTAGTACTTAATTACGAGGCCTTTAAGCAATAGGGGGTTTTGAAGATCAGGCTCCTTTACATTATACAATATAGCTAGGTTTTGTTATGCAGATATAATAATTAGTTCTTATATAATACAATGGAAAATCAATTAAATCTGTAACTAGTTTTTTAAGTATATTTTGCAAGCTAATTCAGTGTTATAAAGACAACCCAAAACCTGAGTTTTCCAAAGTTAGTATGAAAAGCCTCCAAAGAGCATTATATGCAATACCTGATTACAGATTTTTCTCATATTTCTAATGTACAAGTCATTTATTTTATAAGTGAATGTCAACAGTTAATCCACAAATATGAGTTGGATAATCCTGAATATAACATTAATCATCCTGGTGTACTGCAAGTTTCAAAATCCAAATATATCCAAATTACTCCATACCCACACACATTTAAGAAATCTGCTTTTTTGTTGCTCACATCTTAATAAAAATGAAGCTAACATAAAAATCCCTGTCTGCATTGCATGCAAAAATTTTGTACCTTTATTTGCCTTCTGAGTTCCTGAAGTCTGTAAGAAAGAAAAGAAGTTTTAGCCAGTCTATTTTCATCACCACTGTAATTCAAGCTTATTTTCAAAATCAAAATAACTTTACCAGTGATTTGTAAAGACTGGATTCTGGATTTATCCTTATTAATTGAAGAAGATCTTGCACAGTCCACAGCTGTGGGGGGAAGAAAGATCCATTAGAAAACCTTAACAAATTCAAAATAATTCCAAATATGCAAATGGCAGTATTTCACAGTTGTAAATGTTTTCCATTTGCGAAAGATCTATTTATTCCCTGTAAAATAAGTTTCAGAGGCCTGCTGTTCTACATCTATCTTCACTACTTCAGACATACAGCAGCCAGTATGTAGCTTTATCATCAGCTGAAGCTGTGAAGAGAGTTTTGTTCTTTGCCCACCATCAACATGTGCTTGCTACTTTCCTTCTCTGTTTTCTTGATTTATCATCCAAATCAGATGAGCTCAGTAATCCAAATGATTATTAACTACTGACCAGGTCAAAAAATTAATTTTAAGTTAGAAACAACTTCACCCTATCACACTTACAGAGAAGCAAAGGGAAGGCAAGGACCACCCTTTTCAGCCACACTTTGTAGTTAGAGAACAGCTTGAACTGACCAGGAACCACATTTTCAGGGAATTGAATGGCCAAACAAACTTTTATCGGGTTCAGTTCCCAAGTGCTCTGCCACACAGACAGACTGTGGCTGCACCTCTCTAGAGCAGCATCACTAGCTTATTGCCAGTTTTAGGTATTCATGAAAATGACCCTGAATGACAGAATGTTTTGTGGAGATGATCAGAAGCTGTACTTATGTTCGTATTTCCTATCACAAAAAATGATCTTTTCAATTGTTAGAATATGACAACCTCCGGAGAACAAAGCTCCTAGACATCACGGAATAGGCAAAATATTGAACTTACCTTCTTCTTTTCTAATCCACTTTCTGGAAAGAAAACAGAAAGTGAATACTCGTAGCCACATCTCTCTAGATGATCTGCCACCAAACTGTTAGAAGCAGTGATCAAAAGTGAACTGTCTTCACTTGGAACCATCTGTGGCTGAAGCTCTCCACTCAAAATTGGGTGCATTAGCTCATGGATTAGCTGGTTTCGGAGCTGTGTCTGACACAGAAAAAAAAACCTCATTGTATTATCAGTTTACATGTGATTCAATGAGAGTTTTAAATTTTCAAAATCCACAGGGAGCCTCATTTTACTTGTACAACCTACAAACAGAACAGGACAGACTAATTCTGGCAAAATCTGGAAGTGCACTACGAACATCCTGCCCTTCTTCAAAACCCTCTAATGGTAGATACAATGACCTCTGACTTTCCCTCAAAATTTATCAAATGTATCAAGGACTAAAAAGAAGTTCCCAGTCCAGAGCTCACATAAACACCACTCTTGTACCATCATTTTCACATCACTGCTTTCCTGTTTCCCTCCCTTTGGCTTAAATAAAGCCTTCCTGATGTGATCTCCATCTCAGGTGTTCTTGGAACACTCACTGGTCCTCTTTTGAGTCTCATATCAAATAGCTGCTCATGCCATCACAAAAGTAGGTGGCAAAATAAACAAAAAATTCAATGTTTTTAATATCAATTATTTTGAAGGGAAGCAAAAGAGTATTAACCAAAGAGACCTACAGGCACTAATAATAATTAAATGACATTTTTCAAATTATTTATTTGCATTCTTTGAGTTACAATAGAGGAAAAAAAGTAACCTAAAATCAGAAGATCTCCCTTCCATGATAGGAAGAAGGAATTATTTTCATTATACAGTTATTCAAATTGTTAATACTAATGGCTTATAGGAAAATTCATGGCACAAGCAGTGTTTTAAGCTTTCAACAGCAGGTATGCAACAGTGACACAACTGAATAAAAAGATGGTGTGCTACCAAAAATGTGACAAAATAATTGCCAAAACTTAACAAAGCCAGATCATCAGACTAGCCTGATATTTTAGCATGGTTTTCAAGAGAAATTAGGCTGACAACAAAATTACAGAACTACAGATTATTTTGACTTGGAAAAGATCATTGAGTCCAACTCTCAAACACAACTGAAAAAGCCCGTTTTCCCTATTAATTTCTGAACTTGTCCAGTTTTAACCAACTTTAACACATGTGATGTTGCCTCAAAAACAACCAAGAACAGTGACCTCTTATACATCTTGTGGCAAAGTAAAGGTGGAAAGCACAGGGCTGAATCCCTATCCCTAGTACAGAAAAGGAAGGCAGAAATAACTGTCTAGACAAGTTAAACAAAGCAGAAAAATGGACTTAAACAGGAAGTAATCTGATAGAATATTAGTGAAGTCAAACGAGAAATGGTTCTAGCATTGCAAGCTTGGTATGGAAATCAGTAATGCAAAAACAAATTCTCCTAAACAGGAAATTCTAACCTATAGAATTATCAATTATATTTTTGAAGTATTGATCTTTTTTCCTATACATTCTCCTGAATGAGAAGACTGGGACAAAATAGCTCAAATAGTTTTAAAACAGGGTTGTAGTATTTTAGAAGTATTATTCATATAACATGTTTATTATAGGTAATAAACAAACCCTGTAACCTGAGAGATACTTTCCTATTTTATATTCTAATTTGTGGTTCTCTCCCCTACTTGACGTCTTTTTTCAAGCATGGGTATTTTCAAAGACCTAAAGCAGGCTTCTAACCTTCCTGATAAAGACCGAGGCCGAGGCATAATGAACAGCCCTTCTGTTTAGACAGAACCTCGTAAATGGGGGGAAAACCCCCAAACACAACACAACCCACCCCCCTCCCAAATAACAGTTAAGTAGTGGCAAAAACAATAACTTGGTGGAGAGAGTGAGACGCTTGCACTCGGCACGGCTTTTAGGGCTCTCTATGTTAAAGCAGCACAGAGGGTCATAGGCAGCACCTGCTGAGAACAAAGCACACCTTAAGTGTGTCCAGTACGCCTCGGCTCTTAAATGTCTGATACAGCCTTTTCCGCAGCTCCTCCTGGGACAGTGTTTCCCTCTCAACCGATGCCATCCTGACCTACAACACCGAAAGAAACGGGGCGTTACTGACTCGCAGCTCGACCCGCAGCCAGCGAGACGCCGAGAGCTCTCGCCGCCTCGGGCTTTCCCGGGGCAGCCTCCCGCTACCCACGTGAGAGCGCCGGGGCCGGGAGCAGGGCCCGGGAGCGGGGCAGGGCCCGGGAGCGGGGCTCCGGAGCGGGGCAGGGCCCGGGAACGCGGCCCCGGAGCGAGGCAGGGAGCGGGACAGGGCCGCGCCGCTGCGGCCGCGGAGCCCTCACGGCGGCGCCGGATGGGGCGGGCGCAGTGCGGCGCTTCCGGCGGCGGCGGGCGGCGGACGGGCCGGGCCGGGGCGCGGCGCGGGGTAGGCGGTGGGTCCGGCGGGACCCGGCGGGACCCTGCGAGACCCTGCGGGACCCTGCGGAACTCTGCGGGACCCTGCGGGCCGAGCCCCTTCTCCCTCCCCGCCTCCCTCTCCCCCTGCGCCGCGGGCCCCACCCCGGGGACGGTAGCCCCGCGGAGCCCCTTCTCCCGGGAGGCCGGGGGTGGCGGAACGGGTCGGTCTTTCCGGGCGCCGGGGATGGAGCCGTGGGGTTGTCCCCGGGATCGGCGGGTAACTGGGGCTCCCGGGGGATAAATCATCGCTGAATAGGGCAGGAGTTGGTTTTAGGTGCCGAGGTTCACTTCCAGGTCCGCTCTCCAAGGATACTCTCCGGCTTTCCCAGAATCTGTCAGGCTGGGAGGGAACACAGGCATCTGGGCCAGCCTGCTCAAGCAGGGAGCACAGGACACAGGATTATGTTCAGACGGTTCTGGAATAACTCCAGCCTCTCTGGGCAGGCTGTTCCAGTGCTCAGTCACATGCACAGTAAATAAGTTCTTCCTCGTGTCCAGGTGGGACATCCCGGGCATCAGTTTCTGCCCGTTGTTTCTCATCCTGGTGGGTGGCTGCACCAACAAGAGCTCAGAACCATCCTTCTGATGTGCATACCTAAATGTTTATCTCTCTCCAGCCTCTGGTAAATATGAATTGGCAAATCAGAATGTTGGCTGATTTTTAGGAACTCTTCTACATGGATTAAGAGTTTGTTTATAGACTCATCAGGATTTTTGTGTTTTCTTGTAGGGAGCATTGTTTTGAAGAATGTCTGGAAGTTTCTACTTTGTGATAGTTGGTCATCATGATAATCCCATATTTGAAATGGAATTTCTGCCTCCTGGAAAAGTAGAGTCAAAGGTGTGGTTTTTTCCCCTGTGACACTCCTGTGGTTCTTTTATAATTTTACAGTGTATTAGAAGCATGACCAGCATTGTTGTTAAAAGAAGTATCTACTGTTTTCTGGGGTTTATGGAACAGAAATTTTATCATAGGGAGTAGAACTCTGGATTTCCCAAATCTCTTAAAAAATCTTTGCCAGATTATACTAGTTCTTCACAAAACATACCTTTCTTATATATTCCCTGCTGTGTGTTATAGAATATAATCTTAGTTTTGCCTTCATAATTTCCCTTAGTGTACAGAGGTTTTATCATAGCTGTTCATTGTATAATTCCACTTTTAAGACAATTATATATAGTAATAAGGTAAAGTAAGAAGCATAAAATTGAAAGCTCTATTCAGTCCTTTATGCTATAAAATACCTAATTTTTTAATCACCTTCATTAGTCATACTTCTTTTAAGTAAGGAAAGCTACAAACCTATATTGATAAATAAAGATTTTGAAAATGTGATAAATGCAATACTACTCAATAAGTATTGTTTCTAGTGGGAAAAGAACGAATTATCTGTAAGTGGCATTACATGAAAGGAAAAAATAGACTTCAGAATAAAAGGGCATGTATCTGCAAGTGTATCCAAAAATGGAAGTATATGCTGTCAGTGATTGGAACTGCATGGCATCATCTGTATTTTGAACTAATGGCCCATAAACGATCAAAAATAAGGCTATTCAGGCTAGACTTTGTGTGAGGATCTGTAAGAGCTGATTGCAGGGAAAACCTGAGAGGTGAGAGTGGCAGTAACAGAAACCCATTACTATGAGAAACAGTACAAAACTGCTTTTTCTTCCAGTCTGATGAAAGCTTCCAGTGTGGCTTTGTCCTGTATCTCTTATTGGCAGATGTCCTCTGGTTGCCTACAAAATACACAGGCCAAACACTGTGATCTTGTTTTTATTATAGGAAGAGATGCAGTTTACATCTGCAGGCATATATTTAATACTAGTTGCAGAATGTTTTTCTGCACTAGGTTTTAGGAGAAAGAAGACCCCAAAACAATCCTGTTTCTAGGTAAACAACTTAAGAAAAGCAGAATCTTTAGGTGATTTTATCAGCATACCTGCCCTCTGTATTTCTGCTTTCTGCATCTGTCCCCCAGCTTTTATACCTTGTAACCTATGGGTCAATTTCTGCCAAATTTGACTGAAATGTTACAGTCCAGAAAATGCTACATTTTATGTATGCTATGTAAATATCACAAAAACAGATGGCTGGAAAGAACAGAAAAACACATATGAGGGCCTCTATTGTGGAATAAGTTAGTAGTGAGAATCTGCCCATCAGTAAACAAAAGAATTTATGCTTGAGTTCATTCCTGAGGTGTAATACAGGCTTTACTGATTTAATTGCTCTCAGGATTGGTTTTGTGATGATCTTTTTATTATGATCTCTTTTCTCCCTTGAAACCAAATATAATGAAAACATATGCTAGTTTCATTTAATTACAGGATGGCACATGTGACAGAAAAGCGGGGTATATGTAACATTATATAACTGAAGCAAATTATTATTTATATTTCATTCCTTTCACTGAATTACCAATCTGCTGTCCTCTGGAAATGCGTTAGGATGATCATCGCCATCTCAACCAGTTCATTGCCCATGCTGCTCTTGACCTCGTAGATGAGAACATGTGGCTTTCTAACAACATGTATTTGAAGACTGTGGACAAGTTTAATGAATGGTTTGTTTCTGCTTTTGTCACAGCTGGACATATCCTTTCCTATTCTCTTTCCTTATATAAAAAAAAGCCTTTTCCTAGAAAGAGGTAAGTTAGATAAAGTGAGTTTGGAACAGATTTCTCTGGCTATTTGCTATTATTGTTAGAGTCATCAGCTTCAGGAGAAACTATATTGGGAGGCACAGCAGTTGGGAACAGTTGGAAAGATGGATTTTTACCTTTGTAGGAGCCAAAATAGCATAATGAGATGTGGTACATGAAGTAAAGAGCTATGAGAGGCTCTGAGAAAGCTTTTATGATTCTCTGTTCCCACCCGTTTGACCTTGTTGGAGAGAAGTTGCAGTGAACATGCCTGGTGTCAGTCACTCCAATGGTGAAAGTGCAGTGAGGCTTGATACTATGTACAGGTAGTCCTAGAACTGTTTGTTGAGAAGCATTTGTTACACATAGCAAGTAACATTGAATAACATTTTAACTTTAGGGGTACATGGTTGAAGTGCAGGGGGCATCATCCACATTCAGAATTACATTGTTTTAAAAAAGAAACCTTCGATACAGAGGTGATTATTTTCAAACAGGGGGATGTTAAAATATAAATTTAATGCTTTCCAAATTTCATTGCCTCAATTACTTTTTAAAATGCTTCCTCCTATGAGTCACTGCTGTTTCGTGTACAGCTAAACATTTTAGTTATATGTTGAATTTGGTGTAAATGCTTATCTCAGGATAATGTCTCTTCTTTGTAAAAGTTTTATTCTCCTTAATTACTACACATATGAGATTTATAATGCTTCATGATGTAAGGCAAGAAGATGGAATTAAGAACTTCTTTACTGATGTGTATGAGTTGTATATAAAGGTAAGAAATCATTTTTAATGGTCTTTCTGCACTAGTTTTAAGCATGTTGTGCTGTTTGTGCTCAGGCACAGCTGTAGTAGCATGTTTTCTCTTGGGTGCCTGTATAAGCACATCAGCCAGAGCTGGTAATGTGTGACACAAAGGCTGTTATTTTCCATTAAACAGAAGAGACTTTTTGAAATTGTTATAAACTGTGCTCTTTTAGACTTCTTCACTTTAGTCCAGTGAGTTTTTGTAGAATAGATTAGAATGGTTTGGGTAGGAAAGGACCTTAAAAACCATCTAGTTACAATTTCCCTGCCATAGGCAGGGACACCTTCCACTAGACCAGATTGGTCAAAGCCCCACCCAATCTGGCCTTGAACAACTTCAGAGGTGAGGCATCAACAGCTTCTCTGGGCAACAGAAAACTTGTGACCAACTTCTTGTGATGCATTTTGTGGTAGAATGACACCATTAATGATGATAATGAAAGGACTGTTCTACAGAGCCAGGTAGCTTCGCTCTTGGAACACATAGCCCTTGTTCTCAAATCCTGGTGGTATTTCCACTAGACAGGGCCATGGCAAACAATCACCATCTCAGCCTCCCACAGGCACTCAAATGATTCTAGTTTCCACCAGTGTGATGGGTTTGTTCTGGGGAGCTGGTGCTATGGGATGGCTCTGCACATGTATGGGGAGAATGCAAGGGCCTGGAAAGCAAGGACTGTTCAGGGGGTCTGTGCTCTCTTTGTGGCACTAAATAGGCTGAAAGCTAGTAGTAGATGTCACCTGAAGTGACATTTGCCAGGGCTGGGCATTGTGCTTATTGATACATATTTGTTCTTTCCCCAGTTTGCAATGAATCCATTTTATGAACTCAATACTCCTATTCGATCCACTGCCTTTGAAAGGAAAGTCCAGTTCCTTGGGAAGAAACACCTTTTAAGCTGAATAAATAAATCTCCTGAGTGAGTGCTTTTCCCTGCTTTCCTGATTGTTTGAACTGTACTTCATCTGGTTAGTCCCCTACATGTTTTATATTCATCTTCTGAAGACTGACTAATTGGATGCTGAAGCAGCTTTTTCTTTTGCTGATATAGATAAGAAAAGCCAAGCTTCTCTGGTTAAAAAGGTATATCTCAATAAGTTTCCTTTTATATTACATGTAAATGAGGTTTTAAACTGTCAGAAGCTGCAGAGGTACAAAAGAAGAAACTGAGACAACTGAGGCATATGCAAAGTGTAAGCCTCTGACATAGGCTGAGAGGAAATCAGACCTAAATGCAAAAGATGTTGCCAATCATCTGCTTTAGTATGAGCAAAAGGGAATTCTTGACTGTTTGGCCTAAGTGCTTAATTTTATGACAAACTTTCCTAGTTGTATTCCTTCAGTAGAGAACTCACTCTGCAGACTAACCAGACTATTACACTCTGTGGTAGTAAATCAAGCCTCTATTTATTCATATGTAATTGTATGTATATAAATTACTCAATAAAATAATTGATAGATCAGAAAAGCTGTCTCCAGTACTTCAAGAAAATCTGAGGAAAACCCCTAAGGTTTATAAGTGTGTAATTTCAAATTTTCTATGCATTTAGTGCAATACACATTTAGGTGCAGTGTTGCATCAATGAATGAAGTAGACCAGAACAGCCAGATCTGCCCTGACATTAATTCTAAGTCACACATGAAAAAAGCCCAAACTAAATTTACATGTTTAAACCCATGGGTTTTTTCCCATTATTTCTGCAACTGCTGAAACTTTCTTTTTGTAAATAAATTTAGAGGAGTATCTTTGAACCGTGAAAGTGTATTTGTTGAGGTTTCAGAAAGGCATTACTTGGCCTGCCTCCTAGTCCATTGTAAAAGCTTTTAGGAGCCATTTTGCAAAACTTAACATCATTCCAAACCAGTAATTTTTTAAACAGATAATTTGGCATATATGTACCTAATGCTTTGCTTGGGTTTAAAATCTTAAGTATTCTTTTTCTTTATGCAGCAAATCTGTATAAGCTCTGTTGTACTTTTGTTTTTCTATGTCTGAAAAGTAATTTCCAAAGGAAGTGGCATGCTGTTCTAAGAAGTATTTTGCATAGTCTGTATAATTAAGGGGACCACGTGTGTATGTGCTGTAAGTCAGTCATTATTTCTGCACTTACTGCTAAGTTGTCACTGTAAAATGTTCCATGAGAAAAAAGGACATGATAAAGAGGTTGCAATATTTACCTTAAATAAAACATGAAATGTTGTAGTATGGATGCCTGTTGAGTATACTTGAAGTGATTTAGAAGAAAACCAGATAACCACAGTAACAGTACCTGGTGGGGTGGCCTGTATTTGCAATGCTTTTGCATACAAACTGCACAGTACAGCACTTTAGTAATGTCATGTAATTTTATATAAATCAACTTTTTTTTTCTGTATACACAGAAATAACAAACACATTAGAGGTAAAGCATTTTTGATCATGTGATAAGGAGCCACTGAGCTGCAGTTTTCTACCTCCTCCCCTGTAGCATGACAGCTAGAAAAATCCTAACGGTTAAGATTCACCGAGGAAATACTTCAATTAAATAATCACATACTTAGCAGGAAGAAAAGGCTTGGCAAATAGGAAGGATTAGTGTTAACAGTTTCTACCACTTTTAGAAGCTACATTTTTTATAACTGCATTTGCTACTGCAGTAGAACTTTAAATAAAATGAAAGCGTTTTCTTTCTTGACTGATTTCTGAAGGCAATTAGTCAAATGGTGCCTGTTCTTACGCCTCCCCTACACCTTTCCCTTTTTCCTCTGAATTTAGGAATTGTAGATGGGAAATGCAGACTCAGGTCCACCTAGGCTTTATGAAAACAGACTGTTACTGGCCACAGAAATGGAACAATTATGTCCTGACTCATCTCCTTTGTCCTAATTTGTGGTTCAGGAGCATTGTCTTGTGACAGAACTCTGAAGGCCTTGGCAAGGTAGCTCCAAGTTCTCTGTACATGGACAAACACTTGTTTATACTTTAGTTTGTGACTCTTCACGGTCAGCTGAAAGACCATCAGCTGAAGTGATGGGTGAAAATTATCTTGTGGTCAACTAAAGTCACAAATCTGCTTTAGGCCTGAAGGCTGCAGTTCCAGCATGCTTCAGTGAACAGTTTCTCAGTGAAGAGACACCTCCTTTGCAAGGATTATGTTCCTACCCTCTCAGAGACTTAAGAATTCAAAATAAAGTCTGTTGCAGTACAAGAAAACAGAGATAATCTGCATTATGCAATAAAGGCAATAAAAAGTTAATGAGTTAAGGGGACTAGAATTACCCTAAGTCATTAAAAAACCAAGCATAAGGAGATGAGAACATTAGCACCAAGCTGACATGAATCGACCTCAATAAATCCAGGCTGGAAAAGCAACTCGGACTCCACTTTCTACCAGGTTCTATTACTGTTTAGGTAACCTGTCAGGTGACTTCAAGTAAGATCCATTTGAGGTATGGAGCAGCTGTTAAAGCATCTTATGTAAGCAGATGCAGTTTGTTGTGACATGAGCTGTCAGCTGTCCTAGGTAGCTTCTTCTGCCCCTTCCCATTCTGCTCTCTAACAAGCACAGCTTTCATCAGTCTCACCAACCTGCCACAACAGTAAGTTTTTTTCTCATTTAAAGGACACTGGAACTTTGCATACATGTTACACAGTATGCTCTGTTAATCTACTGCTAACAGGACCCTGAAATATTTGAGGTGTGTTAGCTCTTGAAACAAATCAGTGAATTGAAACATAGGCCACAAATGCCTACCTTACATCCCTATGGAATGATACCTAGCTTTTACAAAGTATGGAAGTTAATGTTTGTTATTAAGCATTATTTTATACCTGTCATCTATAACTGCTTGTCAAAAGATACTTGGTTCTGTAGGCACTCCATAGTTTCTCTCTGAGACCAATTCCCAGCCTAAAGCTAATTCCTATACTGTCTTATTTACTACAGCATGTTTATCTTTACTGGCCACTTTTGTGATTAGTGTACAGTTGTGGTACAGCAGCTCCCAGGGCATGAGTAATACACTTCTATGGCATTATGTTTTAATTTTATTAAACCTACTTCTTATGTTAAATGGAAAGGGAACAGATGGGAAAACACAGATGCCTACACAAGAGAAAGACCACAGTGGTTCTCACCCTTCATTTTTCCTTTTTAGCAATCTTACTTGAATGGTATCTATAATACTCAGTATCTTCAGCTCCTGTTTTGTTCCAACCTTAATCTCTGCTAAAATGAATGTTAAAGGAAGCTTTAAGTAGCAAGGTAGTAGTTTTACAATAATTTCATGTCACTAGCTTAGTAGCCCCTAACACAAGCAATCTTCATTTATAAAGCTTTTGCTCTCTCATCCTAAGATTAGGAGGAATTTAGCTAAGATTTTCTTCACAGATATTTTCATTCATTGACTAGAAATTAAACATAAGTAGCAGTTCAACCTATATTTAACTGCTCAGGGACTAAGTTTAAAACACAGTTCTGTTGGTGCAGATGCAGGGCTGCAAGAATGAATCAGACTTAGGAATGCACAAAAGATAAAAAGATGGTAGTTTTAAGCAGGAGTAGCAGATCTGCAGACTAAAGTTGTCCTGGACAAGTTCAAGCAAGTATAAAATACATTCAGAAAAGTGTACTAAGAGGAAGAAGAAGGGTTTGTTTTTGCAAGCTTTACTTCCAAATAATTACACCTGGTACAGATTGATCAGATACTTTTAAGATAAAGTGCTTGCTGGTAATGTACTCTCAAGAAAGGCTTTTCCACTGAAACAAAAAAGTTTCTGTACAGAAAGCAGTTGTTTAAGGAATAACATGGCCTGTCCTGCAGCATCAGACTTCCTCCTCAGACCACACGCACATGTGTGCCTGTTAGCAGTCAATTACAGATGGAAGCAATTGCTAGTGCACTAGCAATTTTGCTATTGCAAGAACAGTGGTTACTTTTGAGAGCCAATATTGAAGAATTTCTCATACAAGTATTCTACCACTTAAACTGCACCTGAAAGCCTCAAAAACACCTGCAGTTTTGTCTGCCTGACTGCAAAAAACTGTCCAACAAATACAGAATTTGCTCTGGTTCATAATTATGAAATGAATTCAGTAATATAAAAGACATTATCTCTTAAAGGTACAAGTCCATATCCTAAAATAGCAATTTTAATAATTATCAAATTCAGCTCAAACACTATCTATTTTTATATACCTGTATTAGGGCTAAAAGCTGTCAAATCTACTGTAAATCAAGAGCTTCCTGAGTTCTCTACGTATTGCCAATCCTTAATATCACAGTGGAGATATTACTGGTAAACACAATCATAGCTCAGGTTAACAGGAACAAGAAGTTTGGAGCTTCTAAGGCTGTACACAAGGAGTTTTCCTAAAAAACTTTCACAATGAGGATCCTTTCAAGTGCTATTAAAGCTGACTGAAAAAAGCATTTCTTTTTCAAAAAATGGTTATAATTCAGTTACTCGGATTTCTCACCTTATTGATCAGAAACATGCTAGCACGGACTTAAGGCGAGGACACACATTAATTTTAAAATTTATCAGTATTTTGCATTAAACCACTGGAAAAATTAGTGCAGCATTAGAATAGTATTTGGGAAAAAATGGACATTAAATATGTAGGAAATTTACTTCCTACTTACAAACCTACACAATTTACAGCAACATTAGGCAATTATAGAAGACCTGGACATAACTTATATTAACTTATAATAACCACATTAGAGATGAAGTACCACTCACAGCAAAAGGAATGTAGTGAGACTGAAGTTTAATATCTAGCATTGTTAAGAAACTGACATCTAAGGAAACAAAAGTGGAATGCCGATTTCATAAAAATATACACATATAAAAGTATCTTTGTGCCTGAATTCCAGAACAGCTTCTCCAAAGTAGTGCTTCTAGAACTTTCAAGTTTTAATTATATTCAAAGTATTTATCATTTGAATAAAGTTGGCAAATTACATTCTTATATTATTTTCTTCCTTGATGTCTTCCTGAACAGAAAGCATCACTAATTCAATAACAGGTCACTCATGAATGGAGATTTTTCTTTTTCTCTCCCATGAAAGCAGCAGAATATTACGATTTTAATATTAGAGTGAAACCCATTTGTTATTCTATCTACTACACCTTCTCCATTCTTTTACAGAACAAGCTAGTCAACAGTAATTTGGCAAAAATAAATTTAAGTCAACAACAAGAAGAGCTGGGCTTCGGTTTCCGATGAAGGTTTACTGTATCTGTTTGAATAAAGTGATCTGATCTATCTTCAGAGGCTAGAACTCTTCTAACAGCTTCTTCAAAGGCTGCTGCAACATTAGTGGCATCTTTTGCACTGGTTTCAAAATAGGGATGGTTGCCATTATTCCTGCACCAGTCTTGGGCTTCTTCTGTAGATACTTGCCTTTCATCGATATCAACTTTGTTACCCAGTATCACAAATGGAAAACTTTCAGGCTCCTTGACATCTGCATAATAAATGAATTCTTTCTTCCAGTTGCTTAAGTTTTGGAAGCTTTGAGAGTCATCCACGCTGAAGGTTAGCAGGCAACAGTCAGAACCTCTATAGAAAGGAGTCCGCAAGCTCCTAAACCGTTCCTGACCTGCTGTGTCCCATATCTGCATTGTAACAAAATGTCCATCGACTTCCAACTCTTTATTTAAGAATTCCACACCTATTGTATGAAACAGCTGTGCATCGAACTTGTTGGTGACATATCTGTTCATGAGGGAACTCTTCCCAACTCCACCATCTCCTAGCAGTATTACTTTAAGGAGTGATGATTTTGCTGCCATTGTTACAGGAACAGATCCTCTTGTTTTCCTAGACCTGTAAAGATTAAGGAAATAATTAAAAAGGAAATCGTTGTGAGCACCAAATTCTGCACAAATAAATATCTAGAATGTATTTTAAATTCCACAAACATCTAATTTCATGTACAAAACCAGGACTCCACTAAACAGGCGAACTGTAGATATACTCCAGTAAGAGTACCCACTCAAGAATATTAAATTTAAGAGGTGTCTCTTCCACAGACAGCAGTCTGCATCTAAGCAGTATGCTGCATAAATTATTAGTCTGTCACTTACAACTATCTGAACCCCCCAAATCCTTCAAACCACCCCCTCTTTGTACTGAAGGGCTATCACATCACATTCAACAAGTGCTATAATTCATTTACATTCACTGGAAAAGGTTCATGGAAAAAAACGGAGCAAGAGAATTTATAGAGCATGTGCCTTGAACTAGTCACTTCAGTGCTGTATTTTATTACCGAAGTTATTTTTAAACCTTTCAAAGGACTAGGAACACAGTTATCTATGGAACAAATGCAAATGCTGTAATTTTATTTAGATGATCATTCAGTAGTTTATAGTTTATTCCTTGCAGAACAGCATTGATGAACAGAACACTATTAAAACTACCACAAAAGAAAATTTGCTGTTGCTACTTCAATGATACTCAAAATGCCACATATTGAGCCCAAACCTACAATGATAGCTCAGTTAGGAGGTGTCAACTTCCCATAGTAAAAGTGTCAAAGATTCTGGAAGTGCTAGTGAATAGTCTGGCAGCCAGCATGGGGATGGCAAATTAGTGACACCAAAGAAGGCTTTTTAACTGTCAGACTTAAAAAGAAATTAAAAAAAAAAAATCCTTTAGCACTAAAGTAGTTTGTTCATTAGTGCTTTGTACCCAACCTTTGCCCTCACAACTGTAGTGTCATCTAATACTGTAAAATGGTGTTTAAATTGCTTGGGAGTAAAGTTTCGTGTTATCAAGCCCAAACTGAACTTTCTGTATGAGGAGAACTGTATTCCTAAACCTGCCTGATAGTGTGGGCTTCAGCCCTAACAGGCTTCTCTGAAAATAGCATCTATTTAGAATGGAAATGGGTCATAAGTTGCCTAGTCCCTCTCTTTCTTTGAAGGAAGGAATGTGGTCTTGCTAGTTGTAATTAGCATTACTGGCATATACATCACCCACAGTGTGGCTGTAGAATTAGTACCTGATACAAGCTGGTGTGAGAGTCGTATGACTCTGTGCTGCCTTACAGTCAAGGCCTACAGTAGTAGCAAGAAATGTAAAGAATTTTTTTTATCAGTACTTTCCATCTTTGAATATTTACTTGCTAGACACAATTTACAGTAAGAAAACAGTAGTTTGAAGCCTCAACACAAAAAAAAAGTCAAAATACAAGGAACTGACGCTTCCATTAAAAATTTTTTTAGAGCAATTAATTTAATTAATTCAGACTGCATAATTTACAGCAATATTTATAAAACCTTAATTCCATACAGGTTTGTATGATAATAAACTTCTTAGAAGCTACAATAAGATATTTCATTTACCCTTCAGAGAGCTACAGGATAATGGCTTTGGCTCAGGTTATGAACACATATATTTTAGTGCATGTGAAAAGCCTCATTAGAGTCACTGGACTACTTGCGTAAGAGTTGCAGTTTATGCATAACTCTGAAAATGGTCCAGTGTATTTATTTATGTCTCCAGTTCCTACATCAATAGACAGGAGCTGCTTCTTAATAATAATGCTTTTGTGGGAACACAGGGTACTGAATGTTCTCCTGTTCTTCCATACCAGTTCAGGGAACAAGTTATAATTTATTTTTCCAGTCCTGCAGAAATTGGAAGTTCCATGAAAGACACAATGTGCATAGATAACTGGCTTAAGTAGTTCTGACTGGTACTATGCACTTGTTTCTTCAGCATTTGCATTTTTATCAATGGCAGTTATTATCATGAAATTGTCCACATTTGCCACATTTTAAACAAAATACATGTAAAGTGTTAATAGTATCTACTACTTTGTGCATCTAGTACCTGCAAAGTTAATTTGCACAATTTCAACTATGTGGGTCATTCCAGTGAGGTCTAAGAGACTGATGACCATAAAATTAGTTTTACTGGGGAGACAATTACAGACCAACCACAAACTATTAAAAGTGGACCAAACTGGTCCTTTCAGACAAGAACTACAGAAAAGAGTCTTCTGTGATGTTGCAGGCAATGTTGATTTTCAGTTTCCAGGACATTCAGTTTCCACAGCTGCCATGCTAGGCTAGAATTATGTTTCCGTAAAGTTTTTAATCCAAAATAATGGAATGTATGTTCAGTCATTTAAATAGATGCTGACAAGCCATATCTGAAGCACCAAAGAAGGATGTCTGAAAATATTATTAAGTACTTTTGTTTGAAAGCAGCTAAAACTTTATACATTTACAGTTTTATTACTATATAAGGGACTCATCTGCAGCCACACTGATAATGTGATTTAGAGTAATCTGCTGAATCAGAGTTGTATTTTGCAGAACAGCAGACTGCTGCATTTATTTTCTGATTGTGCATCTTTAAATAAGATTTTTAAAGAACTCAATTTTTGTAATTGTTTTTTCTAAAGTTATGAAGCTTAACACTCCAAGAAATAATACAATGATAAAATACTTAAGATACTACCAGAATTAATGTCATTTCTCCTATTATACAATTTATCTGTATAATATGTGTTTTGACAGTGTTTTTGGAAGGGATGATTAACATACAATATGATGTTTCTGAAGATTTACTAACTTAATTTTTTCAGTTTAAATCATGATTCATTATCTGAAAACAAGAAAAAAAAAAAAAAGCTTAATTCCTAATGTGCATCTGACTGTTTTACCCTGCATCAGGAATTACAAGACAGTATAGAATGACATGTAACAGTTTGCTCCAGTTATTTCTTAGTGAGCTACACAATTAGTTAATGTAAAAGTAATCTCAATCTAGTAGACAAAGAACCTATAACAAGAATAATTTTCCTCATTTTCTTCAAGCATTTCAATATTCAAAGAAAGTCAAAGCAAATAAATAAAAAGTAGCCTACTCTGGTTCATTTTGATAACCATTTCTGAATTGCTTCCCCTAACTTAAAAGGATTACAGTGCTTGAATCACTGACTTCAATATTCCTGTTAAAAGCAGGGAACATTTTCTACTAAATTTAATTTAGTATTTAGTTTAGTATGGCATGATCATAGACCATAACCCAAAAAAGTAAATTAGTTGTTGCCTTTCAAACAGTAAAATGAATTTCAAGTCAAACATTTCCACTATCAGTCCAAATATTTGCTGTCACAACGAAAGACAAACAGTTAAGCAACCTCAGAAAAATCAGTTTGCATTACAAAATCCAGTCCTGCAAAGCTTAATGAAATACCACTGCCTTGTGGAGTCTATCCATCTAGATTGTCTTACTTCCATATATCAGCTTAATACCTGTCTTTGTTTTGAGTGTAAATACCTCTTTTGCTTATGTACTGAGGCAGCACTCAAAGAAAAGCAAGATTCTTGGTCTAGAAATACATAACAGAGACATGCAAACTCAAGTCTAGGAATTTGTCCTTTTTTCCTATTTAAAATAATTTCACAGATTAAGGAGGACCCGCTCACACCAGTGTACCAAAGGCTGAAGACAAATGCTAACTCAAGTTCTATGGATAAACAGTGCTAAACCAGTAACTGCACTGCATCTATAATGGCAGCAAGATGCAAACCCCATGTAAACTATTAAGCAAATCAAGGCAATTGGACCTATTTACAGTTTAATTTTTCCCATGCTGATACTAGCCACTGCAGCACACCATTAAAAACCCAAACAAACACACATAGCAACTGAAATCTCACCTCCACTCCCTGTTTTTAATAGGGCACCAAAACCTGGACCTATTGTATCACCACTGAACTGCCTTAGCAATTTTGAAGAAACAGATGTAAGGGACACTTCTAATTTCCAGACAATTGCTTCTCCACTTGTATTTACTTTCTAACTTGGAAACAGGTGAGAAAATTTGTTTTAGTTATCACTGTCATTCAGTGGTCACTGGTGAACCACCTGCTACACAAAACCAAGACTAAAGCTAAAGGTTTTCTTGAGGCTATGTAGTACACTGTTCTTTAAGTGAAGCTGTTAAACGTAAAACAGACTCAAGTTTGTTCCCATCATGTAAGTAATCATGTTTACTTACAACCTAATCGGTCATCAGCCAAAAAGGGGTCATCTTTGATTTAAGAAAAAACACTAAAGTTATGGACAAGCAGAATTAGCAATTCCACAAGCATAACACTGACCATGTTTCACAACTCCCTAGGCTCAAATTTACACATATAAGCACATCCATTTCAGCTTATTCACAGTTTTATTTACTAAGTTCCCATATTTTGTTAAGCCACTGGTATCAAATTAGAAGTTTTAAAAGGCACACCACTGCAAGTATTTTGACTGAAAAAAACACTTGCCTTTCAGCAGAAATGTAAACTCCCTCCCTCATTAGTAGTTGGGTTTTTTTCACACAAACAAAGCATTTGACAATAACTGCCAGGCTAGCATAGAAAATGTAGTTGGTTAGTTACATCAAAGAATGACATTAATTGCTTCTCTCTGAAAGGTCTGAAAAGAAGTCCCAAGAACTACAAGAGTTGCAGCAGAAAGGGCAGAATCCAAAACTACATAGTTTTCAACACTTACTGTTTGTGGAGGATTTACATTTCTCAGCCCTCAATCACTACAGTGGTTAAACTTGTTGCCTAAAGCAGATCTGCAAGTTTCCAAAAATCTGAAAAGAAAGGACAGAAGCATATATTCTCACTTTTCTCCCCTTAGTCAATCCTTGTTCTTGTATTTGAGAGCTAGTGGTTTATACCCTGGTCAATTAAGTGGCACAAGAATGCTTTTTTAGCGCATAAGGGTCCACAAATACGCTTAACCTCGAAAGACTTCTTTCTCAGTTCAAAGGAAAACAACCAGATATGAAGCCAAGATGCTACAGGCTTTGTACTCTTGAACGTGTTACAAAGCAGAGACATTAGCCAGCCTCCAAACTGACCCTCCCCTCCATGGGGCACTGACGTAAGAGCTGTGGATCAGGAACACCCCTTTACTGACAGTCACTTGTCAGCTGCCTCAAAGCCCTTCAGTCATACAGCTCGACCTGCCAAAGTCCTGATCTCCTCCCAAGTCTTCCTTCCTGTATCTGTGGTTTCACCACTGCACTATGAAGATAACCCGTCAGCAAATTATTAAACACCTATCCAAAAGAAAACACAGACTATTTGAAATTGCCTCTAGTTTTAAGCAACCTTGATTTAACACCAGAATATAACTAGAATTTACTTGTAATTTTTTATATGAACCCAACCCAAAATGAACTGCCATTCAGCTGTTGCTACTCATTTAGATACCAAAAAAGTTTTATTTGGGGGTTTCTTTTTAAGGTTGTTTTTGACTCCTTTGAAGCTCAGGATTCTAGTTCAAACAGTTGCCTGGCATGACTCAGGACTATGAAAAAACCAGTGGCCAAGGGAAGGAACCCTGAAGTTCACATACCCCTTGGATCATTAAATCATTTCAGTACCTACTGCCAGAATCCCTTTGTTTATTCTAACTTCTAGCTAGACACAAAGTCAATTAGCAAAATTTGTCAGGAGAAATGCCTACATTTATAACTCTCCCAGTTTAATCTTGCATAAGCCTAACCTTCACCTCCAACCTCATCCCCCAAATTCAAGTAGAACGAACACACTTACTTATTCCAATTTAATCAGAGTTGACATTTCTCAGCAGTTCACAGTTAAACATCTTCCAGCTCAAATATTCTATTACTTTCAGCCAACTCCAAAACACCCTTCGGTGCTGCTGCTCCTGGTCCAACACTGCTAACAATGCCTGAGCTATTTGACATTCTCCTTACAGCCTACTTCTCTATTACTGCTTCCACTCTTTCAATAACTTATCCAGCAATTATTTCTGCCCAAATGTGCTCATCCTTCTTCCTTGCATTAGTTTCCCTTTTCCTTCAGGGAATCTTAGTAATAGCAACATCTCTTGGTTCAAGGCTACCTTGTACATTCATACTCTTCCCAGTGTAACTCTTGTGATGAAAGCCCATCCCCTAAGGCATTAAGTGGGTTACACTGTACCAGGCCAACACACTTGTCTGCTCTGCTCAGAATGAAAACAAAAACAAAACACAGAGGAGAATGAACACAATTAAAAAACAAAACAAAACAAAACAAAAAAACCCTTAAGGACATCTTACAAGGCTTTTTGCTGGGAAGTTTTTATTCATTGTGAAACATTTACGTAAAATTCCAAACCTAAGGAGCTGGAAGATCCGTTTCCCATAATTTATTACCAAATAGACACAAAATAAAACAGAACTTGAAATTGAAATCTAAATATCTTATTTGACCCTCTGCAATTTTTTTTTACACATACTTTCAATTTAAGGAAAATTATGGTGTTTGAGCACTCAAAAGTAAAACAAGGACTGCTAGAGGAGGTTGTTTGTTTTTTTTTTTTTAACACACATTGTCTCTTTTTAACTTTATAGAAAAGGCTTTACTAAAATTAAGACAGACAAGGCAGCTCTACATAACCTGAATGCAGACAGAGAAAAGTAACAGTTCATTATAAATTTGATGTTGGTATGAAACACAGAGCTGTACCATCCTTTGGTTAGGTTTCTCTGAAAATAAAAGTACTAAGAAAAAAAATGTTTTGGATTTATTTTGGGTATGTGTGCTCTCCCTCCAGTCTACCATTAGAGCTTGTTACCTTCAAAGCCACTAAAAGTAATGGAAAAACACTCCGAAAAAAACCAAAAAAAAAAACCCCGGTCACGCACAGCCACCCTTGCTCTAAAAAAAGCTAGCACTGACAACCTCAGTGTTGCACAACACGTTAAAAGTAAAGACAAATAAAACCCACATGCTTATTTAATGTAGCTGCAAATTACTATGGACAAGAAGGAAAACACCACGTAGGATGGGAGGCTGCATGACAGCTATCTCCAGACAAGCATTTCAATTCCTGAACAAAACTTTGCCAAGTTCCCTACTTAACTGTCCCACCCAAGTTAATAAAACTTAAATGCTCTCCATGTATCTAGTTTTACGTAACCTTGCTATAAAGGCACTAATGGGAGGTTTTAAAAGCTATTTTTCTTGCACTATCCTGTTACAGTTTTGAAGAAGTTATATGCAAGACGGCTTTACCCCGAGAGCAGCCCATGAAGCACCCAGACGTCAGGGATTCCTAGTCCTGGCCCATCGCTAGCCCTGCCCACACCTGAGCCCGCAGAGTCACCTGCCGCCACGGGGAACTGCCCCGGCCCTGCAGAGGGGCTGAGCCGAGTGTCTGCTTCCAAAAAGCAGAACTGAAACCCAGGGCGCGCTGGAAAGGCGGGCCCGCTCCAGCACAGAACCCACTGGGCTGGAAAAGAGCTCCGAGATCACCGAGCCTAACCTGGGGCCGAACACCGCCCTGTGAACCAGCCCACGGCACCGAGTGCCACGTCCAGTCTTTCCTTGAACACCTCCAGGGCAGGTGAGTCCACTGCAGCCTGGGCAGCCCGTTCCAAGCACACAGCAACGAGAAAAAGGAGATCAAAGGAGCTTTAATACTTCCTCTGCTCCCAGTCTGAAACGCGGTGAGGACACAGGTACGAAGCGCAGCTTCCCCCTGACAGAGCAGCGATCTCCCTCCGACGTGAGGAAGCGCTCCGGGGTCGGCGCCCGCCACACGCCGGCTGGAGCCGCTTCCCAAAGGAGCCCCCGCCTGCCCCAGAGTCACGGGATCGCGGATCACGCCACATTCCCCGTCACCCCGGAGCGCCCGGGGCCCCTTCCCCCCGCGGGCCCGGCCGGGGCTGCCCTCCCGCTCCCCGGAGGCTGCGCCAGGAACACCGGGAGCGCGCCTGGGATCGCGGACAGCGGCGGGGGAGCGAGCGGGGAACGCGCCAACAAGGGAAAGGAAAATAACGCAACCTGACTCGGCTCCGGACCGCGGGAAGGGAACTGCCGCCGCTCCCGGGCGCGCTGGCGAGGCCGATCCCAGCCCGCGGAACGGGGCTGTGGCCGCTCCTGCCGCCGCTGCCGGTCCCGGGCTGCGCCACCACCACCGGGCGCCGCGGAAGGAACAAACATGGCGGACAGGCCGGGGGCGGGCCCGGGCACCACGTGACCCTGGCCCCGCCCACCGAGCAGTGGCCACGCCCCGACGGGAACGGGGACAGCCGCTGAGCCCGGAGCGGCGGGAGGTGCGGGAATGGGAACAGCGACGGGAATGGTGGGACAGCAACGGGAACAGCGACGGGAACAGCAACGGGAATGGTGGGACAGCAACGGGAATAGCAACGGGAATGGGAACAGCAACGGGAAAGACTGTGCCCACAGCCTAACCAGGGCCGGAAAGGCCCATCGAGGGCCACCTCTCATCGATCACTGCCGTGCGCCGTCTGAGAGCGTTCCGCCGGAAAAGATAACACTTCTTGCTCTAGAATGCCCGAAAATGCCTTTATAAATTATGTACCTGCCGATCAGAGTTATTTATTAAAGGCAGTAGTCTCACCGTGCTCCACACTAAGGGCCGCAGGTATGCCAACTCACAATTGTAAAGCAGCTTCACTTTACAACTAGAAACATTTAATGTGTCAATGAAGGAATTCATCAAAATACAAAGCACGCTATTTTCAAAAAGTAGCTAGGCACTTATTTTCCTGCACTAATTCAGAATAACACCAACTTGACTGTTAAAACAAGATCAGAGGGGGGAAAGTTAAAGGAGACAGTGATAAGAATCTTCTCTGTGCTCTTACAAACTCCTCATGAGGGCAAAATTAAAAAAACCCAAAAACCTAAAGAGGTTCCCACACCATCAGGAGGAATAGGTGATGACAGGCATAAGTACACCCATTTGCTCAAGCAGTCATCACATGCTTCTGATCATAAGGTAAATGTAACCAGACTGGAATTGCCACTTGTAGAGTTGCCTTGTTTTGGATCAGACATCAATGCGGCCCAAGAAATGGAAAACAAGATCTCAGTATCATCAAAAGAAGATTCTTCTACTGACAGGAACAGGATTAAAGGCAGGCCATGCTAGAGGCAAATCTGATGATACCAGACACATTTTTATCTAACAAAGCTGGATTTCAAAAATTTTTAAGTGCTTTTTTCCTGGAATCTGCTTTCATCTAATTCTTGAATAAAATACAAGCAAGTGCTGGAGGGGTAGGAAAGTGGACTTTAAATTATTATAATTTTAAGGTATATAAGTTCTAATCAGTTGTAAATCGTTATTTTATGATTTATAAAGAAAAATCTGCATTTAGAAGTGGAAGAAATAATTACTCTGTTTTGCAGTGAATACCTTTTGGGGAGAAGCTACCATGTTTTTGTTTTGAAACAACACTGGATTTTGTTTTGAAACACATTGGATACATGTGAGGAAATTTAGAATTGCAGGAGAGTTTGGCTTGGAAGTGACCTTTAAACATCATCCAATCCAATCACCTGCAACGACCAGGGACATCTTCAACTACATCAGATTGCTCAAAGCCCTGCCACCATCAATCTGGGGAACCTGTTACAAGGTTTCATCACCCTTGTTGCAAAAAAACAAATCCCTAGCCCAAATATAGTCAGTCTGTCCAGTCTGGATCTATGCTCCTTTCTCATCCTACTGGAACAGGCCCTGCTAAGAAGTCTGTCCCCATTTTTCATATAAGCCCCTTTTTAGGTCCTGGAAGGCTTCAATGAGGTCTTCACAGTCTTCTCTTCTCCAGGTTGAACCACCATAGCTGTCTCATCCTTTCCCCACAGAAGAGATGCTCCAGCCCTCTGACCATCTTGTGGCTTCCTCTGGACCTACTCCAACAGGTCCATGTCCTTCCTGTCCTGGAGACCCCAGAGCTGGATGCAGCACTGCAGGTGGAATCTCACGAGCACAAAAGTACAGGAGCAGAACCACCTCCCCCAACCTGCTGCCCACACTGCTTTTGATTCTTTCTGGACTGCAAGTTCACATTGCTAGCTCATGTCCAGCCTCTCATCCACCAGCACCCCCAAGTCCTTCTCCTCACAGCTGTTCTCAATCCATTCAACTCCCTGCCTGTATTGACATCAGGGGTTGCCCTGATCCCAGTACAGCATTTTGTACTTGCCCTCATTGATCTTCACGAGGATCCATTTGAACCCAGTTCTTCAGCTTGTCCAGATACCTCATTTTTCCAAGTTCTGTTTAGAAACAAAATTCTTGAACCTCTCAGGTAAGATGTATTTTTATTTCCTTTACATGGGAACATATAAGAAAATAGAAAAGAACCATGGTGTAACCATGACTACTATGCTCATGATTTTATAGGAACACTGGAGCATCGTAGCATTACTCTCATGGTTAATACACATGCATGAGTGCTTGAGGATCAGGAACTTAAGGCCCTTTTCCTTGTGTCCACTCTGTTACATACCATGTATGTAACAAACACAACAGCTGCTATAGAACAACACAAATTGTAGAAGAAATAATGCCTCTGACAAGGCTGGTCGCATGAATGTGCTTCATGTGCTGCCAGTCCTGAGGTCAGACAGAAGAACATGCCCAGTTAGGACACAGTTTGAAACAAGTGCACCAAAACCACTCCTGTTTAAATTCTGCAGACACGCAGGGTCCCTGTGGAGGCTGCTGTGGGGCTGCCCCTGTCTGAGGCCACTGTTTGACCATTCCAGTGCGGGGGAGCAGGGCTGGGGCAGTGCTGGTGGGGGCAGCTGATCCAGAATCCCACTGCCAGCAAGAGCCCCATTTTGGCTCACTGTACAAACCTGGTGAACCCATTCCTGCGCCTCACCTTGTGCACCAATTTCCATCTGACAGCACATTCCCAGACTTGCCTGGTTCTCACTGGAGTTTTGGCAGATCATTGTCACCGGACCTGCCTTGCTCTTGTTTGGCTGCTGCTGGATAGTGACCCTTAAAACTGAAGCCACTGTCCCTGCATGCCTGCATGCCTTGTCACCCACCATCCTCCCCTGGCTCACCTTCCCCTGTGCAGTAACCCACCCTTGCTGCTCCTTTGCATGCACCTTCATCTGAAAGCTGACTTTGCACTTTAAAGGATTTTGTTCACAGAGGTGTATTCATGTTGTTATGCTATGTCAGAGAGAACAGCACAAAAAACATCCAATGGCAAATAAAGGGCAACTTTTTTTGTGAATAGGAGGAAGTTCTGTATTAGCAAAGCTCTCTTATAATAAGAGCTTGTGAATAATACTTTTTACCATCTGTAGCTGGCAAGAAGACTATGTCCCGTCCTGGCAAGAGATGACATGGCCTCAGTAAAGCATGACTTTGTCACCTCTTGGCTGAATTACACCAGTTCAAAATAAGGGGATATGAAGTCATTTATGGCTCTCTTAATACCAGAATGCAGCAAGCCAGCTCCCAAGCAATCCAAGAAATTATCAAAGTGCTCTTGTTTCTTTCCTTATCTTCCAGGCAGTCAGTGAATTGGACCATTACACCCTGAAGATTCCCTGAAGGACTGTAATTCAACATATTTGCTCCTTAACCACAGGCTATTTCCAGCTAGCTTTCCTTCTTGGCACAAAAAAATAACTGTTTTTTTGTTTAAAGAGCTGCAGTTCTTTGCTTTAGTAGCAAATGTAGATAGCACAGCAGACGGAAAGGAATACACTTTAAATGAAAAATAAACAGCACAAATTTCCTTTTGGTTTTCAAAAGAAGAGTTATAAACAACAAATGGCAGCTGAGTACCTCCCTAAAAAGTGCACAGTAAGAGGCATATGACAGAGGTAGAAAAGGCACTCAACAGAACAGATGGAAGTGGATCTAGCAGGGTATCTCTAGGAACCAGAATGAGTTTTGTTACTGGTGTTAAGGGAGCAGCATTGACTACAATTAATAGAGCACTTCTGATAGATAGTGTATTTTTTTTTTAACTTCAAAAATTGTGTGAAATTCATTTTTAATTCAGCTTTCATCTTCTCAAGATATGTATCACATGTTCTGCAGCTACAGGCTGCTTGATCTTTGAGAGCAATTTATGTTTAAGACCTTATTGCTGCTTTTAAATCATAGGATTCAAGGAGTTGAATTTACAGCATTTCTGGAAAACCCCACGGAGATAAATAAAGACTTTAGCCTTGTTCAGCATATATTTGTCCTATATTTGTGGGGATCACCTCTTCCAACACACTCCCTGTAGGAGTAGCAGCACAGACATGCTAAACATCATGATCTCTGCTTATAAAAGTTCAGAGATCTTTTTCTCACCCAGAATGAACTGGGGAAAAAAAAAAAAGACTTCAACAATATAAAAGAATCTAATTTTTCAAAGCTTTTGTTTTTGGACTCTACTTCCTGTACTCCAGTGATCTACACCCACCTGCTGTTGGTACACACTTTGTAGTTGCAAGTTGGCTTTTTAAACACATTTTGAGACAAAGCATATAACATAGCATATAATCTTAGCCAGCCAAATATTTTAAGCCTGCACAGTTAAACATTTAGTGATGGGCAGTTAAAAAAAAGGATGTTACATATTATGTCACAAATGTGGTCGGTGTTACAGATACAAATTTTACCCTTGAAATATATTCTGTCAGAAACACCCTTCAAGCCTTGTAATATTTATTTCCCTTTGCCAAGATAAAACTTGGATGAGCTGTACATTACTGGAATGGCTTCAAAACCAACTGCAAGCAGAAATTATTTATAAGTTGTTCAGAGCTAAAATAAAGTCTTCTGCTACATGGTGTTCTGCAACACCACAATGCTGGCATAAAGCTCTCCTCAACAGGACCATGACCTTCAAAATGACTGCACACAATCCTGTGCTCGCTGTGATCCACTAACAGAGGAGTGTTTGCTTTCCTGTCATTTCACTGAAAGGTAATGATAATACTTTACACAAAAGACTGCCACTTAATAGGACTACTCATAAGCATCAATTCCAGCACACAAGAAAGGGCTGGGAAGGAAGGCCAGATAGGAACTCCTTGGTTACACAGCTGAACACTGGGGGTCTAGTGAAAGCTTTAATATGTATTTTACATCAGTGCAATTCCCCTAAAACACACATTTTTACATGTTAAAAATCTAAGTAATACTGCTGAAAGGTAATTGTTAACCTTTCACAAAACAGAATGATTTTTCCTCTGTTTTTTTCAGTAGAATAGTTTAGGTGTCTCTTTGCAACATCAGGTTACACATATATTTCCCTATATACAGATAAAGACCTGTCTTTCAGTCCTGGCTGGTATTTAGTTCACCAATACCTATTTTCTCATCTCATGCCCCCAACTCCTTTCTCTGAGAGGTCATGCAGCTCAGCCCAGAGGAGCTGACCAGCCTCAGCTGTGTCACAGTCAGATGGGTGCAGAACTGTCCTCAATTCCTCCAGCAAATACTCAGCAGGTTTCTCTGCTCTGCTGATATATTTTAACCTTGAAGTGCTAAATGCCTGTTGAGCATTTGTAAAAGATACAGGCCGCTTACTTTAGTGAGAAGATTTTTTTTTTTTAAATAAATACTTCTAGTGGACAATGAGTGAGAATCCTGTTGATGCTAGAACAAAAATATGTATAAAAACTTCTGCTATTGGATTTCCTTCTATTCATTGTTTGTGGGTAATGTGCACTATATAGAAACATTAGTTTTCTCAGTTCAGGACAGAGGTCCCAGTTCCAGAGAGGATATCCACTCAAGAAAGTTACTAACTCCTATTAATTTTATTTATTAAATAAACATACATCCAATAATATATTTACATCATTTTCTGAAACAACCCGTTGTCTGATCCTGCATTAATTTCTTTGAAGTAGCAGGACACACCATCTTACATTGCAAATCTTGCCGGCATACTGATAGACTGACACAAGTCCTGTTTTCCTTCTAATAGCTAAAAACATAAAGCAGAATCTCATTCTTGCTTTCCTTTGCTAGCTGCTTTCTACCCCCTTTAATGCTCTACTCTTAGTTTCTTTTTTCCCTGTTAGAAGTCACCTCTCAAACCAACTTAATAATCTAAAACTTGCTGCCAAAAAGTGATTTAATTAAGGAGTGAATCCATGCTGAAGATTATGCAATGCACATAAGTACATGAATTGCAGTTTTGGAAACAGTTTTATGTAAATGAAACTTATATTCCATGAAAGAACTCTCCCTGGAGTTAAAAAATAATTCCAAGTATCCAGTCTCTTCAGGAGAAAACTCAGCACTTGGAATAATTTTAATAGATTTACTAGCAAACATTCCACTCAGATAGTGTAACCATTTTTTTCCTTTTACCCTTTATTTTTTTACATATTTACATTACTTAGACCATGTAAGATTCATTCAAGCCATCTTTAAAAATACATTAGCAGTTTTTAAAAACTGATTTTGCAGTTTTTAGTGGCAGCATCCACGTAATATCAACACAGAATTTAAAATTACAGAGTTTTAACAGAGGTAAGTTCTCATACATGTTTCCAAGTCCCTTATTATATAAGGACAGCTTTACAAACAAATCCATCTGCTGTGATACCACTGTTCTCCACATTCATTACAAATAACATACGTCAACATTTGTTCATCTGGATTTGTGTTTCGCACCCAAGCTGGAAGAAAGAGAGTTCCTCTGGCAATCATAGTGACAGTGCAATCAAATTTTTCACAGCGTCTGCACTTTATTTTGTTTGTTTGTGTGCCATTAATAACCTGTGGAAGCTGATGTTCCTGAACAGATGATTTTGTGTACAGGGCCCTGAGCTGTTTCAGTTCATCGCTGGCCATTTCCATCACTGTCATCTCAGCAAAAGCCTTTGGGCTCAAAGTTCCTGAAAAAAGATTATGCTTTAAGTGGCAACTTTTAGGGTTCTTAAGGTTAGAAATTTTACTTCTGATGCAATTTTTATACTTTTTATCATTTTTAGCATGAAGAGCAAAAATATGTTCTTCAATTTCTTTAGCTAACTCTAGCCATTTAACAGTTTCTTCTTCATCTTTAGCAGAATCAATCAAAGCTTTGTAAAGAAGATCCACACATTTACACCTCAGAGCTCTCATTAGATCCTGCTGCAGACTTGCTTCGCCAACAACAAATTTAGAATCATCATCAACAGTGTGTTGTGCCTCAAAAGAAGAAAGCCGATTCATACTGCCTTCTGCATTGCTACATACCACATTTTTAACGGTTTGTGATGGGATCAAACTGTTGGAATTAGTACCATCTAATGCCTCCTGCTGACATGGTCCTTCAGACAGCAACTGCTCTCTAGGAACTACACTGAGATGCTCAATTTCTTCTTTCACATACACAGAAACTGACTTTTTAACTGGCATTGACTGAGCACAGTTATTCTTGTAAAGCGTTTTCCACCTTGACAATAACTGCTTTGCTTTCTTTTTTAATGCTCCTGAAGGGCAGTTCTTGAGTACTCTATATACAGCCTTGGTAACTTCTGTTCCCTGAAGATATTCTACAGTCATATCAACATCTTCAAGTTCCTTAAGATGATCCTCAATATCTTGCAAATTGTTCTCAGACAGCAGTTTTTCAATACAATGGGTTCTGTGTACAATATTTTTCAGATCAGACATTTTTAAACCTGGAAACAAAAGAAAAGATCATAACCTTTCCTGCAGTTATGACATTAATTCATCTTCTGTATATTCACACAAGGTCTTCTTTTCCTTTTATGCTATTTTATTTGTATATATCACTGGGTTTCCCACCATTTTCTTGAAATGGTGTACAGAAGCCCAAAACACCATTCTGGTTCCTACATGACCCTCAGCTTTTCACTTGCTATACAAGAGATCACGCTACATCTCTTTCAGAATTTTCTCCTTACAGCTATCAGAGAAGCCAGTCAGAGTCAGGACTTTTACCCGAGGTCCCACTGCTGCCCTTCCCCTTGCTAGCTCTGGCATCGTATTACAGATGGATTATCAAGATGGGGCAGCTCAAAAACAATGACACCTGCAGTGTTTCAAAACACTGACATCTACAAATTTTGAAAATTCTCAAAGGTTAAAGACAGATTCCTCTATATTTTCTTGCAGCTGTAGCATTATCAAAGCATGCTCTCATATATTCTCACGCATAAAGGAAAATCAAAGGGAGTCTTCAGAATGCAGAATCTCATGGTTTCAATAGTATTTCCTTTTGATTCCTTTTCATTAAGCCCTTTGATCAAAAAATGTTCAGTGCATTGTTATTGCAAATTTGCATGCAAAGAAAATTATATTCTTAACATTATTCTTGCTGAAAAGGAGAATTAAATGTAGAATGCAGAAATGAATGGTGTATTGTGTTGTGTTCTTAATTTCTGCAGTTAGTCTTCTAAATGTATGCATTAAATCAGTGTTTTGTCTGAAATTGCATCCATCCTGATTCTACTCGACTAAAACTCCTCTGCCTGACAGAGACAAGGCTGGCTACACACATCCTTATGGGAAGAAGTCATAAGGTGGTTTCTTGCAGCATCATTGTTTCCATAGTGAAAACTCCTGGGAACAGGGGTAGAGAAGGGACAAGAGACAGCTGGGTAATTTGCACCCTGTTGTTTCTATGACCACCACCAGCTAATTTGTCTTTTACATGACAGAAACAAGTTCAAATTTTAGGTAGGACCTCAGAGCTCCACAAAAGAAAATGACAGAGAGGATAAGACTTCACTTTTTTCTATAGAAACAGAACCAACCCCTCCTCCACAGTAAATGTTCACAGCATTCCCTTAAGCTTTATTTAAACACTCTTGTCTTACATCTTGAAGTCATGCAAAACCTCAACAATGGTGATTTCAGAAACCAAATTATTACTCAAGAAGTTTCAAACTCAGAGAAACAGGATGCAGTTTTCACATACTTAAGTTGAGCCCTCTGCATCATCATGCTAAAAAGAATGTGAGTGCATCCTCTGAGAACTCCTCTGTTCTTCCACAGGAACACAGAAGCTATGAACAGAAAGAAAAGCTTTGTCATGTAGGAGAGCCATCACAAAGCAAGAACAGTTCCCTGTCTCCAGAATACCAAGAAGTGGACCTTAGAAAATTATTATCTGCCAATTTACTGTTTTCCATGCAATCCAGGGCAGAGTTGGTGACAGCTGTATGTTAAGCCAGTATGATTGCCCTATGCCTTAGAATCAGTTCTGCTTCTTCCAGCATACTCCACATTTACTTCAGATCTTGTGTCTGATATTCACTGGTAATTGGGAGAAGCATAAGAAATAGCATTAAAAAAAACCCCACTGAATAAAGGTAATAATCAGTGACATCAGAGAGGTTTCTGCAGGGAAAATGGTCTTGAAATGGTCCTAGCTTTGTTGTGTGTACCTAGTTTGCAATAAATTTTAAAATCTTTCAAGGTGAAAAGCTACTTATACTTCTGAAATATTACACTAACTACTGAAATATTACACTAGCTACTCAAGCATAAATTTAATCTCGGTTTCCAAATTAAAAGGAAGTGTGATGAAAATAATAAAAAGTTGTTTGTATGTTTGTTGCCCTATAAATCAAGTAAGGACCAGATTTATCACCAAGGTTGACACAGACCCCATAGTTTTACACAAGCAGAAATTAAATAGAGCTTCCTAAACTTATAAGGAACATACAAAGTAATTCAACATTTCATTTTACTACCATGGTTTCTTTCAAAGGATGAAGCAAAGCTCATTAATACTGGGGAGCCTGTGTTGCATTTCATATTAAGTCTGAATGCCAAGCACCTTTTCTGCTTTCCTAATCAAGGCACAACATGATTATGTCAGACAACTGTAGAAAACATGTTTTTCTTATTCTTGTAGGGAGAAACTTGAAATTACTGATGCCATGGTAATACTGCAGTGTATTTTCTAGCCAAAGTTCACTGGGAACCCAAGTATAGCAAGCCTAAGTTCTTCCCTGCTGACTCCTGTTTTCTGAATTCTGTTTCTGTTATAAATTAGATAGAGCAGTAAGTTCGGAGAAGCCCCAAAACCTTTTGAAGAGAATGCAAGTGTGTCACAGAAATCAAGCTGCAATTCCAAATGGAAAATTATTCTACCACTTGAGGGAGCTGTGGCATAGCAAACCCATGGAAAGTTTTTAAAAGTGCACAAGACACTCCAGCCTGTGAAGAAAAAAGATAAAATAATTACACTATGAACTTTAGGAGACTTCAAATTTTTAAGGTACATATTTGCCTCATTTTGGCAAACAAACCCTGCAGAGTCCATAGATGCTGGGATATAGACAGGAGGGAAAGAGTATAACCCTTATCCAGTCTGTGCACTGCACTTTGATTTTTTTTTAATTTGGAATTTGACTGCTTTTGTACCTGATTTAATGCAATTTGACAAATGCTGCTGAGCAAATATTTATAAAATTAACTGAATCGAACTCAATCAGTGTTGTTCAGCTGTGTTCCTAATTCTAAGAGACAAGAAATCGGAGAAAGACTAGGTTTTTTCTTAAGTTACAAAATGAATAATGCATCTTTGTTAAGGTGGAGCACCCTAAGGAACTGGAAGACTACAGTAAGGCGTCTCT